CTCCCTTTGTCTCCCTTACAAATCTCTCAAACTCTGTCAGTTATACAAGTCATGCTATAGACCAGCTTTCAATTTGGGCCAATTCTGTCAGGCAGAGGCATGTCTAGAATTGGGCAGCCAGAATCCTGACCAGGTCTAGTGCAAGTGATCACATTACTCCTGTCCTGGAGTCGTTGCAGTGGCTTCCTGTCAGGTTTCGTGTCGACTTCAAAATCCTCCTGCTCACCTATAAGGCTCTGCATGGCTGGGCACCTCAGTACCTGTCTGAACTATTATCGCTCTACTCCCCACCTCACAACCTTTGCTCCTCTAATTCTGGTTTCCTTACTGTCCCCCAGTCCCCCACTACAGGTCACAGGGCCTTCTCCTGCTGCACCTCAAAGTTCCAGACTCAAAACCATCTTCGTCAGAAACAGTTTGGTGTAACTGGTGTCTGTGTTTCTAACCCCCTGTATTTCTTTGTGCTCATTTTGTTATCTCCTATCCTCGTTAGTTTTTGTTCGTTCTTTTTTTTTACCTTGCATGTAAAATGCTTAGAGACTATACCTTTAAAGGCACTGTATAAAATAAAGTTGTTTCCTCTTTCTTTAGTAGTATGAGCATGAATAAGAGTAAGAACATGAGTATGAGTTTGAACATGAGAATTAGAATTAGGAGCATGAGTATCAGTATGAGTCTGAGTGTTAGTATTAGAGAAGATCACTTTATTGGCCATATCCAATTTTCTTGTATTTTTTCTGTCTTTTCACATACCCCAGCTTGCACTCCATGAGACACACAGACAGGGAGAGAGAAGCTTGTGGTCAGAGCGCAGGGTCAAACATTCATAGGGCACCCCTAGAGCAGTTGAGGTTAAGGGCCTTGCTCAGGGGCCCAATGGAGTAGGATTCCTCTGCCGGCCGCGGGATACGAACTGGCAACCTTCCAGCCACAGGCACAGATCCTTAACCACCTCACCAACCCAAATTCTTACCCTCAAAGCACTGTATATTAAAGCACTGTAAATTATATGTATATTAAAGCACTGTATATTAAAGTTCAGAGATATTCTTTATTAAAATTTCCTTTCATTCCTGCGTGATTAACGTCTTAAAAGGACTAACCTGGCAGTGGTGGGATTCGAACCCACGCCCCCGAAGAGACTGGAGCCTAAATCCAGCGCCTTAGACCGCTCGGCCACGCTACCTGAGTGTGCTAGTGACGGCATGACTATGTGAATTAGTACCAGTGTGAGTACGAGTTTTCGTATCAGTGTGAGTATCGGTATTAGTGTAGTGTGTTAGTGTGAGTCGTGTGCTCACTATGCACCTGTGAGCAATGAGGAGGAGACAGCTGTGCCTCACCCACACCCCCCAGCTCCTGGCGCTCTGATCAGGGCAGTGTGTGTGAGCGGGAGGGAGGTCATTTCGCTTGCCTGGGTCACCAAGGGAAAAATAATTAGCGCTACCTGCCCCCCTCTAGGGTGTCCGCCCTCTCCATTTGAGCCGAGTCGGTTCCAATATCGCGAGCGCTCATGCGTTCAGCACGAGCACAAGGACAACAGAGACCCGGAAGGAAGTCATGACAGGATGAGTTCTGGGTCACAGCGAGATTAGGGATTAGAAAAACAATCAAAACGAGCGGGACGGGATTCATTCGCTCGTCTTTGTGCGCGTGTCTCTTAAAGGGTATT